CCCTCCCTGACCTACTTTCCCGGGCCTCTCTGACCCCCCCTCCCGACCCCCGGTGGGCCTCCCTCCCTTTACCTCCCCTGACCTCCCTCCCTGACCTCCGTTCTGGCCCCCCTCCCCGACCCCTCCTGACCTCCGCTGCCCCCTCGCGACCTTGTGACCCCCCCTCGCTGACCTCTTTTGGGCCTCCCCCGCCCGACCTCCGCTGACCTTTGCTTTACCCCCCCTCCCTGGGCCTCGTGACCTCTTTTTGACCTCCTTTCCCCGACCTCCCTCCCCTGACCCCCGTTTAAACCCCCCTCCCCGACCTCCCCTGACCTCCCCCCCTGACCTTTCCCCCGCTGGGCCTCCGCTGACCCCCCGCTGACCTTGCTGGGCCTCCCTTTGCTGACCTCTGCTGACCTCCCTGCTGAAACCCCCGCTGCCCCTGGGGGACCTCCCTCCCCCACCTCCCCTGACCCTTCTGTGAACCCCCTCCCTGACCTCCTCCCCCGACCTCCGGCCTGAAACCCCCCCTTGAACTCCCCTGACCTCCCTTCCCTGACCCCCCTCCCTGACCCCCCATGACCTCCCTCCCTGAACCCCTGTGACCCCCCTCCCTGACCCCCGCCCGGAAAACCCCCCTCCCTGAACCCCCGCTGTCCCCCCCCTGACCCCCCGCTGGGCCTCCCTCCCTGACCTTTCCCCCGCCCCCGACCCCCTGCTGACCCCCTCGTGACCTCCCTGACCTCCCTCCCTGTTGGTTGCTGACCCCCCCTTTTCCCCCACCCCCGCTGGGCCTCTGCTGACCTCCTTTCCCCGACCTCCCTCCCCGACCCTTCCCCTGACCTCCCTCCCTGAAATCCCCCCCTTGGGCCCCCCTCCCTGACCTCCTCCCTTTTTCCCCCCACTGCCTCCCTCCCCGACCTTGCTGACCTTCCCCCCCCTGACCTTCCCCTGACCTCCCTCCCTTTACCTCCGCTGACCCCCCTCCCTTTACCTCCGTGAAACCCCCCCTCCCTGGGTTTTCCCCCGCTTTCCTTTGCTTTACCCCCCTCGTGGGCCTTTGCTGAACCCCCCCTCGGGTTTACCTTGTGACCCCTCGCTGACCTCCCCTGAAACCCCTGCTGACCCCCCCCTGAAACCCCCGTGACCTCTGCTGAAATCCTTCCCTGACCTCCCCCCTGGGCCTCCGCTGACCTTTTCCCCCCCTGGGCCCTCCCGCTGACCTTTTCCCCCCTGACCTCCCTCGCTGGCCCCCGTTGCCCCCCTCGTGACCCCCTGCTGACCTCCCCCGCTTTACCTCTGCTGACCTCCCTCGCTTTACCCCCGCTGACCCCCCTTGGGTGACCCTCCCTCCCGGACCCCCGCTGACCTCTGTTTACCCCCCTTCCCGACTCCCCCCCCCTGACCCCCGTGACCTCCCCCCTGAATCCCTCCCTGACCTCCCTTTCCTTTTACTCCCTCCCTGACCCCCACTGACCCCCCTCCCCGACCCTTTTGACCTCCCTCCCGGGCCTCCTGACCTCCCTCCCCTTTAAATCCCCTGACCTCCCTCCTTTACCTCCGGCCTTTTTCCCTCCCTGACCTCCCTCGCTGACCCCTGCTGACCTCCCTCGCTGACCCTTTTTGCTGACCCCCCCCCCCTCCCTGGGAACCCCCTGCTGGGCCTCCCCCGCTGGGCCCCGCTGACCTCTGTTTAAACCTCCCTCCTTGGGCCTCCGTGACCTCTGCTGACCTCCTTCCCTGACCTCCCTCCCTGACCTCCGCTGACCTCCCTCCCTGACCTCCGGGTGACCTCCCCCCCTTTACCTCCCCCGTGGGGCCCGCTGACCTCCCCGCTGCCTCTGTGACCTCCCTCGTTTACTCTGCTGACCTCCCTTTGGGTGAAACCCCCCTGACCTTTTGCTTTTTACCTCCCCCCCTGACCTCCGTGCCCCGCTGACCCCCTTTTCCCCCGACCCCCCTTTCCCCGACCTCCGCTGCCCCCCTCCCTGCCCCGTGACCTCCCTCCCTGACCTCCCTTGTTAAACCTTCCCCTGATCCCCTCGTTTACCTCTGCTGACCTCCCTCGCTGAACCCCTGCTGACCTCCCTCGCTGACCCCCCGTGACCCCTGCTGACCTCCCCCCCTGACCCCCGCTGACCTCTGCTGACCTCCTTTCCCCGCCTCCCTCCCCGGGCCTTTCCCCTGACCTCCCGTCCCCCCACCCCAGTCCCCCAGTTCCACCTCCCCCACCCCCTCCCCTGTCTCCTTTGTCCCCCTCAGGTCTTCCGTTTTAAAATGGCGTTTTTACATCGGGGAGCGGAAACGGGAGGATCCCATGGCGGTGGCCCCCAGGGCAAACCCTTTTGGATTTTGTTGGGGGTAAACCCAGTTTTTCCCGTGGACCCCAAAGTTTCGACGTCACCCCCCGGGGTGGGCATGGGGCCCCGGCCCTGGGACAGCTCTGGGTTAAAAACGGGGTTTTTTTTTGCGGTTTCTTTTTCAGCACGGGGATCTGTTTCTTTAGGATCTGACTGTTTGATTTTGGGGTTTGGTCTGTAGGAGGCTCCCCCTTTTCCCTTTTAGGACATCGCTCCGCCCACCTTTTGGGAGGGGCGGGCCTTTAAAAAAGACGGTTTTTCCCTTTGAGGGGTTTCAGGGCAGTGTTGTTTCTCACGCTCCTGGGAGGTGGAGCTTGCCTTTCTATCCCCGATTTTTTAATTAAAAAAAAAACCTGGAAATTTTTTTTGCATCCTGAGGCTCTTTTATGTTAAACTAATGAAAGATTTTAGATTAGTTCCCGGCAGAAGGCTTTTCCCCTTTTAGAGACAGCACCTCAACTGGGCAAATGAAGCTGACCTTTTTTACCCTGTTTAGGCCTCCCTTTCAAATTCAAAAAAGAAAAATAGGAAAACTTTAACTTTTCCCCCGAAAGTGTTTTTGTGCTATAAATTGCCTGGGAAATGAAGTTTGATTTTATATAAATAATTCTCTATATTAATTATCATCCATGTTAGTGATGCTCCCAACCTTCCAGTATTTAGACGGATCCCATCCAGACTGAAATTACGTGAAAACAAAGAACTTTGATAACATTAAAAGAAAAGCAGCACAGATGTCGCTGAGTTGATTATTTTGCTTCAAAGTACGCAGCTCTGCATTAAACCAAGGAGCAGCTTTCTATTTTTAACGGTTTTCATTTTCAAAGGAGCTGCGTTGTCTAAGGCAATACGCAGAGAACTAGCAACCCCATCAACAAAATCATCAACCTGTGAAGGGGAATAAGCTAAGCTTTTGCACTCTGCAGCACTGCTCAGCGACACAGAGGAGAGAGAAAGTGAAGCAGATTCTTTAAAATCTATAACTGCTCTATCTGATAAAGATCTACTAAAATGTAACCTTCTTTTGGGGGAGGAGAACTCTGTTAAAGTAATCCTGAAGGTTATTAGAAAGTGGTCGGATAGCATTAAAGGCTGCTCTTAAGCTATCGCCTTCAATGTCAGCATGGATGTTAAAATCTCCCACTACGTCACAAACATCACAGTTAAAGTCATTAAAGCTATAGAGTAGGATCTTTTATTTCCGAGTGGATCATCTCAGTCAGTGGTCCTCCTAACTGTCAATCATTCTGGTGATATGTTTACGTTAGGCCGTCCTACATGCTCGCCCCATTAGCAACCTTTTTCTGTGCATGCACACTTTCAGGCATATATCTGTGGTGAGCCACGGTTTCAGACGGTCATTGAAGCTCATCTTTCTCACCCCCGTTCTTTGAAAATGGCCGATGGTCGTAAGAGAAAAAGTGTCTACGAAGTGGATGAGAAGAAAGGAAAGTCCTCAAGAGGCAGATATATCCCAGAATGCTTTCCAAGGAGAGTTCTCCTCGCAAAGCATTATGGGATTTGCTGTCACAGCGGCGACTAATAACAAAGATGGTGCAGGAACAGTGTGGTGGAGGAGGAGCTACGTGACCAACGCAGCAAAAAGCAGTGATCATCTGTCTGAACGGTCAGTTAACTGAGTTCACTATAAAGTTCACTATAGAGTGCCCGCTCTATAGTGATGGAGGTATTTAGGGGTTAGAGCGGGCGGTCGACACAGCAAGCTGGTATGACAACAGCAACTTTTAAACCGCTCTTGGACGGGTCTGATATGCGTTCCCTCTCTGAGCGGGAACAGGGTTGTTCATGTGCATTTGAGGGTCTTTTAAAACATTCGCAAAAATCCTCCACAATACCTTTAACTGGCATTTTGAGGAAAGAGATCTTATGTTAAATGTTTGATCGTTTTAACTTTTTTCTCCAACTGGAGGTATTTTGATTAGATTTTCATGGTTTACTCCTTTGGGAATCTTTGCTAATTTATTAGATTTTGGTCGTGGGCAAGACACTGTCTGGATGGAGTAACAGTAGAGAAGCTGCAGAGAGGTCTGTTAAACTAGGACTCTGCTTCCTGGTCTGCACCCTGGGGGGTCAGGGTTTGATTCCTAGTCCAGTCTTCAATGTTTTCCAGGCCAAAGACCCCCTAATTATATATATAGTGTTCTATCAAACTGGTCCTATAGTCGCTCTATTACAGATGGAGTAATGTAACTAAAGTAATCCCTCCCTGGGATTATTAAAGTATTTCTGATTCCTGGTTGATGGGACAGGTGTTGTGAATGAAACGGTGTCCAGCTTGAAAGAGCTCCTGTGTGTCGCTGAATGTGAGCATTGATGACTGAAAGACATCTTCTGCCTCCATTTATCTGTTTACTACAGTCTGTTGGATTCATGTTCATGTGGATTTAAAGATTTCAATCAGTGGAAAAAATTGCAGGGGGGAAATTATAAAAAGTCTAATCAACCAGAACTTTCATGACCCCCATGCAGTACCTCCACGGACCCCTGAGGGGTCACGGAGCCCCTGTTGAAGACCTATGTCCTAGAAGGAAGAGCTGCACCATCCAGTGTCTCAGAATCAGAGCAGGCTTTCCTGGTCTGTTGGTTCTGTCTGGCTCTAAACGACGGGGCCTCCAGGCTCCTCCTCTGGTGTCTAACGGTCCATCTCCTCTACAGGTCAGCTCGGGGAAGTGATGAAAGAAAGCGCAAAGATTGCTTCAACCTTTGCCAGAGCCTTCCTCATGGCCAAGGAGCCAGAGAATACCTTCCTGACCAGCTCCCACCTGCACCTGCATGTTCCAGAGGTAAAAGGAATCCGTCCTACCATTCTAGGATGGAAACATCTTTGATTCCTCAATGCGGAGCCTAACCTGACTCCTCTCCCTTACCTGACTCCTCCCACTGGTGGCCCATCAGCTCAGCTGACTCCTTTGTGGGGTAGGGGTGGGCATCTGTAGCTCCTCGAGCTAGCTGCTAGCTGCTCTTAGTGGCTGCAGAAGGTTTAGGAAGGGCTCAGATATAACTGGTCAGATTGGTCTGTAAAACTGAAAGAGGATCTGATGAGGATCCTGATGGTCCGTATCATGGGCTGTACCGGGGCTCCATCATTACATGCCCCCCCCCCCCCCCCCCCTCACTCTTCTGAATTTCCCTGAATCTCTTCCAGGGAGCTACTCCTAAGGATGGACCCAGCGCCGGCTGCACCATTGTCACAGCGCTGCTGTCCCTGGCAACCAACCGGTCTGTGCGTCAGAATGTGGCCATGACTGGGGAGGTGTCACTGACTGGAAAAATCCTGCCGGTTGGAGGAATCAAGGAGAAAACCATTGCAGTAAGAATCCCAAACACGCGCCGTTAGATTATTAGAACTACAACGGCGCTTCAAACATGGTAGATCCCTATGCGGCAGATCAGCGCACAGAAGAGACCAGAAGCGTTTTGCTTTAATGCGTCTGCAGTGTTAGCTGAGTGTTAGCTTAGAATTAGCCTCGACTTAGCTGAGTGTTAGCTTAGCGCTAGCTGAGCATTAGGTGAGTGGTAGCTTAGCGCTAGCTGAGCGTTAGCTGAGTGTTAGCTTAGTGCTAGCTGAGTGTTAGCTTAGTGCTAGCTGAGTGTTAGCTTTGCGCTAGCTGACTGTTAGCTTAGCACTAGCTGAGCCTTAGCTGAGCGCTAGCTGAGCCTTAGCTGAGCGCTAGCTGACTGTTCGCTTAGCACTAGCTGAGCCTTAGCTGAGTGTTAGCTGAGCGTTAGGTGAGTGTTAGCTTAGTGCTAGCTGAGTGTTAGCTTAGCGCTAGCTGAGTGTTAGCTTAGCACTAGCTGAGCCTTAGCTGAGCGCTAGCTGAGCGTTAGCTGAGTGCTAGCTGAGCATTAGCTAAGCGTTAGCTAAGTTCTAGCTGAGTGTTAGCTTAGCACTAGCTGAGCCTTAGCTGAGTGCTAGCTGAGCGTTAGCTGAGCGTTAGCTGCAGAGCCTCTGGTGAAGATGGTCTCATTACTGTCCATATAAAGACTGACCGTGGTCCTTTTTTTCCTCAGGCCCGCCGTGCCGGAGTCACCTGCATCATCCTTCCAGCAGAGAACAGGAAGGACTTCTCTGACCTTCCAGACTATATCACGGAAGGACTGGAGGTCCACTTTGTAGACCACTACAACCAGATCTACCCCATCGTCTTCCCACAGAACTAGGACTCCTGTTTCACTGCTGTCAAAGAGCATCTTTCCTAGGATCCCACAGCTGCCATGATCACAGACGTTGGTCAGGGCAGCAGGAGGAGGACCGATGTTAGGGCAGGGTCACTGGATCAGAACCGACAGAGTTCTGGGACAGTTCAGAGACTGCCTGCTGGCCTGGTGCTGCTGAGCAGGAGTCTGAGGAATAGCTCTCCATCCACACCTTAGAGGGTTGGAGAGGCGCAGATGAAGCCGTTTATATTTAAATAAAGGAAAAGAAAGAACTGATGGAAACGAGTCACTGAGTCCAGACCTTGTTTATCTGGGTGTGATAAGCCCCGCCTTCTGGAGCCCAGTCCAATCACACGTCTCGGTTTCTTCCTATGGTTGTTAGTCTAATCAGGCTGATACTGGGAACCAGAGGGTGAGGCGTCTCCTCCCCCATCCTGCGCTCCGCCCTCCATGTGAGGAAGAATGCGATGATCATCTGCACAGTGATCAAATGTTGGTTTTAGTAAAGCAGTGGCCTGATGAGGAAATGGGCGGAGCTGGAACTCCTGACCAATGAGAGGTGAAGGCATCATTTCATCACAGATGTGCTAGTAAGGGACTTTAAAGCAACGTAGCCTTAGCAGTTAGCTATTAACCTGTTCAATATTTAACCCTTACAGCGCCGCCAGCGTGCATTAATAACCGCATCACCTGGAAGCCTTGTGCTGAGCTGTAATGGTGTGGAGCGGCCACTAGGGGTTATACCCTCCTGGAAACAAACCGTTAGACCAGGCAGGTCCAACTTCCTGCTGAAATAATCCAAACCTCTTGGTCATTGCTGAGCCTGTTTGGCTTCATCCTTCAGTCCTTCTGCTGGTTTATCTACTGTTGGGTTTCTAACAGTTTAAACGTGGGAGGAAGAGGAATTCCTGCCCATATATGGAGATCCTGGACCAGTCTGGTTGGTCTAATGCAGCGGTAACCAATTAAAAATCAGTGCAGTCTGAATAAAGAAAATCATCAACCAGTAAAGGTCTGGAGACATTTTTCTGTTACTTTAAACAGAATTTAACCTGAAATAAACGAGGTTTTTATGAATCCATGTTATACATTGAATTTATCAAAAAAACAAAAGTGTTTTTTGACGTAGAGAACAACAATCGTTCAGTTTGGTTTATAGATAATTTCCTGATTCCCATATTTTCTCAAACCCCTGAACTGATGGTTGTTATTTTCTTTCTTTTTTCTGTGTTAATGTTGGCAGTGGGCTTTAGGCTGCCCTGCAAGGCTTTAAACCTGGGTTTAACCAGAGACTAAGCCATTCTCAAGCACATATCAAGGAGCTCATTTTGAGCCTGGATCCAGATTTATTGTTGATTCTGTTCATGGTGGAGAATCCTGCTTCACAGCAGCAGGTTGAGCCAAACATCCTCTAAATGTGCAGGGTCATCTTTGAGCACGCCATTTCACTTTTCTTTCACCAGTTCACCGCAGTTCTTCCAGCAGTCCACACTTTCTCTGCTCTCTTTTTCTCATGGTCTTCTCCTTCTTTCCCATCGCCCGGCTTGCCACAGGTTTGCCTGCTGTGTCTAAAAGTAGCAGCAGCAGCAACCCAGACTGACAGCTCATTGGCTCATTTGGATCACGTGCAGCCTGGAGCCGGACGCTCCCCAGGGCTTTACCGTATGAACAGGAAAAGAGGAGCAAGGGAAGTTAGACTGTCGTCAGACAACATGCGGTAATTTATAAATGTTTTAAGTCTGCTTGGGTCCGGATCCGGACCGTGGTCTGCTAATCCCTGACCTCTGGTCTTATGTGATGCTTTTTGAGAAAAAAGATCAAAATCTGTACTAAATCTGTAAAATATATTTTGCTTTCCCTCTCCCTGGGCTGCCACCTTATCATGGTGGAGGGGTTGCAGTGTCCCAATGACCTCAGGAACTATGCTTTCTGGGGGCTTGATGCCCCCTGGTAGGGTCACCCAAGGCAGACAGGTCCTAGGTGAGGGGCCAGACAAAGAGCAGCCCAAACACCCTTATGATGAATACAAGAAATGGACATAGTGTTCCCTTGCCCAGACGCGGGTCACCGGGGCCCCACTCTGGAGCAAGGTCTGGATAGGAAGGGGGACCCATGTTATAGCCCGATGAGGAAACATGGGTCCCCCTTCCTATGGGCTCACAGCCCAGTGTGAAGCAGCCAGGATGAGGATCAGTGCCTCCAAATCCCAGACCCTGGTCTGGAGCCGGAAAAGATTAGAGTGCCTTCTCTGGGTTGGGGAGGATGTGCTGCCCCTAGTGGAGGATGTTGGGATCTTGTTCACGAATGAGGGGAAGATGGAGCAGGAGATCGATGGGCGGATTGATGCGGCGTCTGCTGTGAAGCATGCGCTGTACCGGTCTGTGGTGGTTCAGAGAGAGCTGAGCCAAAAAGCAAAGCTCTGGATTTACCGGTCGATCTACATTCCTACCGTCATCTATGGTCATGAGCTTTAGGTCATGACCGAAAGATCGAGATCCGGATCCAAGCGGCTGAAATGAGTTTTCTCCATAGAGTGTCTGGGCTCTCCCTTAGAGATAGGGTGAGGAGCTCAGTCATCCGGGGAGGACTCAGAGTAGAGCCGCTGCTCCTCCACATGGAGAGGAGCCAGCTGAGGTGGCTCGGGCATCTGGTTAGGATGCCTCCAGGACGCCTCCCTGGTGAGGAGTTCCAGGCACGTCCCACTGGGAGGAGGACCAGGAGGACACGCTGGAGGGACTACAGGTGCTGGTCATAAAATTAGAATATCATGAAAAAGTAGATTGATTTCAGTAATTCCATTTAAAAAGTGAAACTTGTATATTATATTCATACATTACATACAAACTCATATATTTCAGATGTTTATTTTGTTTAATTTTGATGATTACAAATGACAACAAATGAAAATCTCAAATTCATCATATCAGAAAATTAGAATATTGTGAAAAGGTTCAAAATTGATGGCCCCTGGTGCCACACTCTAATCAGCTAATTAACTCAAACCACCTGCAAAAGCCTTTAAATGGTCTTTCAGTCTAGTTCTATAGGCTACACAATCATGGGGAAGACTGCTGACTTGACAGTTGTCCAAAAGACGACCATCGACACCTTGCACAAGGAGGGCAAGACACAAAAGGTCATCGCTAAAGAGGCTGGCTGTTCACAGAGCTCAGTGTCCAAGCACATTAATAGAGAGGCGAAGGGAAGGAAAAGATGTGGTCGAAAAAAGTGTACAAGCAAGAGAGATAACCGCACCCTGGAGAGGATTGTGAAACAAAACCCCTTCAAAAATGTGGGGGAGATTCACAAAGAGTGGACTGCAGCTGGAGTGAGTGCTTCAAGAACCACCACACACAGACGTATGAAAGACATGGGTTTCTGCTGTCGCATTCCTTGTGTCAAGCCACTCTTGAACCACAGACAGCGTCAGAAGCGTCTTGCCTGGGCTAAAGAGAAACAGGACTGGACTGCTGGTGAGTGGTCCAAAGTCATGTTCTCTGATGAAAGTAAATTTTGCATTTCCTTTGGAAATCAAGGTCCCAGAGTCTGGAGGAAAAGAAGAGAGGCACTTCATCCACGTTGCTTGAAGTCCAGTGTAAAGTTTCCACAGTCAGTGATGGTTTGGGGTGCCATGTCATCTGCTGGTGTTGGTCCATTGTGTTTTCTGAGGTCCAGGGTCAACGCAGCCACATACCAGGAAGTTTTAGAGCACTTCATGCTTCCTGCAGCTGACCAACTTTTTGGAGATGCAGATTTCATTTTCCAACAGGACTTGGCACCTGCACACAGTGCCAAAGCTACCAGTACCTGGTTGAAGGACCATGGTATCCCTGTTCTTAATTGGCCAGCAAACTCTCCTGACCTTAACCCCATAGAAAATCTATGGGGTATTGTGAAGAAGAAGATGCAATACACCAGACCCAACAATTCAGAAGAGCTAAAAGCCACTATTAGAGCAACCTGGGCTATCATAACACCTGAGCAGTGCCACAGACTGATCGACTCCATGCCACGCCGCATTGCTGCAGTAATACAGGCCAAAGGAGGCCCAACTAAATACTGAGTGCTGTACATGCTCATACTTTTCATGTTCATACTTTTCAGTTGGCCAACATTTCTATAAATCCTTTGTTTTTATTGGTCTTCAGTAATATTCTAATTTTCTGATATGATGAATTTGAGATTTTCATTTGTTGTCATTTGTAATCATCAAAATTAAACAAAATAAACATCTGAAATATATGAGTTTGTATGTAATGTATGAATATAATATACAAGTTTCACTTTTTAAATGGAATTACTGAAATCAATCTACTTTTTCATGATATTCTAATTTTATGACCAGCACCTGTATGTTTCTCTGCTGGCCTGGGAGCACCTTGGGGTTCCCCTGGAGGAGCTGGACTAAGTGGCTGGAGAGAGGGACGTCTGGGCCTCCCTACTGAAGCTGCTACCCCCGTGACCCGACCCCGGATAGGAGGAAGAAGATGGATGGATGGATGAATATTTCGCTTTCTGAAAGGATTGCAAAATTTTCTTTACATTTGATGGATAAAATGGGTAAAAATGTTTTTTCCCCATAATAAAAGTATTAAACATCTGCTTATTTATAGTGTAGACTCACGTCATAAAAACAATATCATAGAAAATCCAGTCAGATTGGTTCCGTTTTCTAAGGAAAAGCAGCTGATAGAATGGACTGGATGGCCGAATCGGACCCTAAACATTAACCCTGTGATCCCGCGGAGGACCCGCCACATTAAGGGCCGTCCCAAACCACATAGTGGGTAGGGTCATAGAGTCTGCTTCCAGTTTCAGCCTCCATTGATAAACATGAATAATAAAGGTGTTTTTTTTTTCTAACTATTTTATTTCCTTGGGTTGTTTTGTTAAAACTTCCACCAGGAGGCGTGCTTTGGCGTCGCAGAGGTTAGGGGGCGCCGCCCATGTACGGAGGCCTCAGGTCTCCATGCGGCTGACCTGAATCAGACCTGTGGTCCTTTGCCGCATGCCCCCCCCCCTCCACTGGGTCGCTGGCGCTCCGTTTCTAGATTTACATCAAACACAGCAGTAAACTGGAAAATAAAACTGGTGAAACTCTTACAGATCTAAACATGTTAGACATCGTTAAAACGCTCCGGTTCTCCACAATCAGCCACCGAGATCATTTATGGACGCAGTGAGCGCCAACGCACGATCAACCCAGACATAGCAGCATGCTAAATCAGAACTGTTTTTAAGTAAAGCTCCAACTTCCTTCCTTCCTTTGAGGCGAACCTGAGGCT